AGGTAATTGGTTTTATGACTTTGGTGTGTACCCTTCCGTTCATTTTCTTTTGTATTTACATATATAACATGTGCATAGAAAAACACATAGAGGGTGCCTAGGTGGCTCAGTTGGTTAAGCGACTGCCTTCGGCTCAGGTTATGATCCTGGAGTCCTGGGATCGAGTCCCTCATCGGGCTCCCTGCTCAGCAGGGGGTCTGCTTCTCCCTCTGACCCTCTTCCCTCTTGTGCTGTCTCTCATTCTCTCTCTCAAATAAATGAAATCTTTAAAAAAATAAAAAAAAAGAGAAAAAAAAAGAGAAAAACACATAGATCTGTTGTGTGTTGGCTTTAATATAAATGTGATCATCATATATATCTTGCAAAGTGCTTTTTCCACCCAGTACTATGACATGGTGGCCTCTGACAGTTTCTTTCTTCATTTCCAGACTTACCTCATTCCCCTTAACGGATATAGAGTATCTCCTAACATGGATGCACCATAGTTTATTTAACCTTTTCCAGCTGGTGGACATTTAGGTTGTTCCACTATTAAAAAAGATAATGCAGTCAGCAACTTTGTATTCATGTCTCTTTTGGGGACTCTTTCTCTAGGAGAGATAATAGAAGTGGAATTATTCCATCAAAGGAGAAGCATATTTGAAATATAGTTTTATTTATATCAATGTTTCTCCACCATTTTTTCATTATTACCCTCTGCTAAGAGAAAATTAAGTTAAACAAATATAGTAAATTTGGGATGCCTGGGTGGCTCAGCCGGTTAAGTATCTGCCTTCAGCTCGGGTCATGATCCCTCAAGTCCCACATCGGGTTCCTTACTCAGCAGGGAGCCTGCTTCTCCCTCTCCCCTGCAGCTCCCCCTGCTTGTGCTCTCTCTCTTTCTGACAAATAAATAAATAAATAAATCTTTAAAAAAAAATCCAAATTAGTAAATTAATGACTTAAATTAATTAAAATCAAAATAAATTAAATTTCACCCTGATGAGACAAATCAAGTGCTAAAGAATAAGAGGTAGAGTTGAACATTGTAATATCTAAGATATTTTTTGCCTCCAAGAACCATTTTTTGCCCCCTGGAGGGCAATATTGCCCCCGCTGAGAATGCACGATTTGGATCAACACAAGCTGACAACTTTTTTGTTGGGTGAACATATCGAGAAGACATCTCTTTCTTGAGAGGGCTGTAAGATGCCACATTTAGGTCTTGAACTCTTGCGGCAGTCAGCACTTGTGGCTTGCTGGAACCCTTAAAAAATATTTACCGAATTGAACCGAATGTTGACAACATAACGTCCAAGAACATTATCATGTTTGCCATGAAGCAGAGCAGAGAGACACTGCTAATTTGTTCTCCTTCTTCAGCCATTAATTGGTATTGTCAAGAACCCCTAGAACATCACTACATAATTCACGGAGGGAAAACACACAGAAAAGAAATAACTGAGCTAGAGGCTGTCACTCCTGGGAGCTTGCTCACGCATTCCTTTTAAACATAGCTTTGCATGTTTAAGGAGAATGGAATCTGGCCCAGGAGGCTCAAGTCCTTTGAAATGTGCTTTGCAACAAGTAGGATGGCAGGAAAACCAAGCCATTGCTTTGGTTATGGGAGAAAAACTTTGATGGCTTTGAAAGAAATTGGGGCCCTTCAACATTGGAAAACTGCAACATGAAAGGCATGACATGTAGACACAATTACTTTTAGCTCTGTAGCATGAACCTAACAATCATACCCATGTGAAAGGAAGGGGTTTTAAACAATCACAGAAATAAGACAGAAGTCATTAGCAGGGAGGCTTGGAATAGGGACACAGACACGGTTGCTATCCTGGTGCTGTGTGTGTGGGTGGGGGGCGGTGGCCGCGGGAAGGGAAGGAGGCTTATGTGTTACGTGCCTCTGTGTTTTGGAAAAGCTGTGTTCTGATCTTTCTGCCCTGCACTGGCTGTGTTATCTTGGGCAAAACGCTTGGTGACTCTGGTCCCCAGCTGAGTTGCAGGGAGCTGGAAGCCAAAAGGTTTTGCTCAAATCACTTGGGTGGAGAGATTTAATGTCAAAACATTTAGAACTGCAGCTGAGAGCTAATAAAATGCTAATGTTGGAATTAGGAGGCTTCCTGGAGTTGTAAGGAACGTTTTTATGCATGTGTGAATGTTTTTATTTCCATAGTTATGGTTTCACTTTAATTAGATTAGAAAAAAATACAAGCACATCAAACCACTGATTTCATAGACAGTATTTATTGCTTAGGATGTAGCTTTTAAAAAACAAACTCATTGTAAATTGATTTAAGTAAAAATAATATGTAAGCGTTGTATATGGAATTTTTTTTTTTTTTTAAAGACTGAAGATGTTTCTGGAATGCATAAAGTTCGGGAATAGTGATTTATGCCATTCCTCCCTGCGACTGGCTACACTAGCTACCATTTAGTGTGCACCTGTCAGAAGTGGTTAAAATCATTCACTATGTCTTCTGTAGCTGGAAAGGAAGAACGTGGAAGGAATTTCCAAGATGATTTCAGCGCCCTTGTTAGGTATCCAAAATGCAAAACACTTCTTAAAAATAGTAAAAGCTACCGTCTATTGAGGGTGCACTGAGCCGAGGGCTATTCTAAATGTTTTATGTATGCAGTTTCATTGAATCCTTACAACCACCCTAGGAACTAGTTCCATTATGATTATCATCGTCCCCATTTTACAGATGAGGCAATTGAGGTCCAGAGAGCACTTTGCTTAAGGGTCTGGAGCTAGTAAGTAAAGAGGGCAGGATTTGAACTCAGGCAGACGAACTCTGGAGCCCGCTCTGTTCTCCATGCTCATTGTATGATTCTACACAACTCCCACCATGAAACATCCCTCCTGCTGGAGCAGTGGGGGCCTCATTTTTTTTTAAGACTTTATACTTTTTAGAGAAGTTTTGTGTTTAAAGCAAACTGAGAGGAAGGCACAGAGATTTCCCATAAACTGCGCCCCCTCCCCCGCCGTCACTCCCCCAATGCATGGCCTCTGAACATCATTCCCTAGAGGGGTACGTTTGTTACACCTGATAAATCCACACTGACCCATCATCTTCACCCAGAATCCATAATTTACCTTAGGGTTCACTCTTGATGTTATTGTGTGTTTATGGGTTTGGATGAATGTATAATGACACATACCCCTCATTATAATATTTTACAGACTATTTTCACTGTCCTCAAGATCGTCTTGGGGCATTTTCACTCTGCCTTGAGGGGGGGCCCAAGATCCAGCATTTCTAACAAGCTTCCAAGTGACATATTTCCTGCAGGTCCTTGGATCACACTTCGAATAGAAAGAACCTTTTGTTTTTGCAGGAGGCATGGTTCTTGTCCTTTCTCCACTTACACTGTCTCCATGGCATCAGCTGAGCTCAGCGTGTGCATGAAGTTGGATACAAATTCATGGCAGTGAAACAGGATATTTGGCAATCGGAGGGGAGCCAGATTCCGCACATATGTGTCTATGGATTTCTCCCTTCCTTCAGTTTGTTGGCTAAAAAGGAGGCATATTTAGCATCTCTCTGAGAGAAAAGCAAACAATGGCCTCAGATCCACAGGGCACAAAGGCGTAGCCCTCTCTTTTTAGGGAAAAAGGGTTCCTAATACACTTGGAGAGGGTTCAGCATTGGTCTTGGGCTGCAAACTGGTTTTTAACTTTATGTAACATTTTGGCCCTTTTCCTAAGTAGAAGTGTTTCGAAATTGTTTGACGTCCCTGCTCTGGGATGTCTATAAAGAGACAAATTGTCCTTTCTTATGAGCTGACTTGGCAGGAAGGCATGGCCTGTCCCTCTTGCTGTCCAGAAATCTCCTAAACTTATGGCCTGTAACCTCTTTCTTTTGATCTTTTCCCAGGGTCCGCTTTGAGACTGGAGTTGGCCAGTCATGCTCTCCTGGTTTGCATTCAATTGTAGAAAATTGTCCTAGGTGTAACTCTCAGCCCAGAAGCCTCAGCGTATGAGAAGAACAATTTATATTTTTGAAATTCAGTCTAATTTCCATTTCAAGCCCCCATGTCACCAGGGTAGAAAACATTTAATTGCAGTTAACTTGGGGATTCTTCCTACTCTAGGATTGTACTTAAATGTGGGGGAGCTAGATGTCTGATGATCTTAGCTACTCTTTCATGTATTCTTTTTATATTTATTTTTATTTATTTTTAAAGATTATTTATTTATTTGACAGAGAGAGCACAAGAAGGCAGAGTAGCAGGTAGGGAGAAGCAGGCTGAGCCACCCAAGCACCCCTCTTTATATATATATTTATATATATATATATATTTATATATATATATATATTTAAAGATTTTATTTATTTACTTGAGAGAGAGAGAGCCAGCGAGAGAGAGAGAGAGCACAAGCAGGGGAGAGGAACAGAAGGAGAGGGAGAAGCAGATTCCCAGCTAAGCAGGGAGCCAGGATGTGGGGCTCAATTCCAGGACCCCAGGACCATGATCTGAGCTGAAGGCAGACTCTTAACCGACTGAGCCACTCAGGCACCCAAATGTAGTCTTTTTATAAGATGAGACATCTGCCACCCATTCTGGTCCTCCCTCATTGGCCTGAGCATGTCACTATAGAGACTTCCTTCTTCCTGTTTGTATGGTTCCTACATGGCTTTACTTGCCTTCAAGATTTCCAACAAATATTTTATCTAAGCTGAGAGTCCTTTCTAGGCCTAGGCTTTTAAAACATTAGAGCCAGAAAAATATTATTTTTTCCTACTGTTTCCTTGTTTACATCATCCCCTGAACCAATAAGCATAAAATAGCTTTGCTGTGAAAAAATGGAAGAAGGCTCAAAAAAGAGAGCATGGATTCAATTTGAAATAGATAACCTTGCTACAAAATCTAATGCCCTAGATGAATGTCATGCAATCTGTGTAGATCTAGGTGTGTTTTTTGACTCTTTTCCCACCCTGGACATGTTTTAATAATGCCATTATTCCCCTAAAAGTTAATCCTCATATTTGTTCTTCTCTATTCAGGTTCACGCATTGTCTGCTAAAGAAGTACGGAGTCCCACGTGGAGGGAGATCCAGAGCTGGCGAAGGAAGGAGGATAGCAGAGCACACCTGAGAACTTTGCGAGGTCATGGCTTGGGAAATGCAACTTACAGTGATTGGCCTAGCCTATGAGTTTGCAGCAAGGGGAGATAAGCTCATGGTAAGTAACCAGTGATTGAGATAATACCAGTAGGAAGTTTGCTTCACCGTGTATTATAGGGTGGTGGTTAAGGATATTGGCTTTGGAGTGAAAAAACCTACATTTGATTTCTGGCCCTGGCACTTCCTATACAGTAGACTTTGAGAAAGCTATTCCACCTTGCCGATTTTTCAAATGCCGGTAATAGGAGTGTGTGGTAGGACTATTTGCATGTTTGAATGAGGTACCGTAACGCATGCTTGGAGCTTGGCATAATGAGTGCCTGGCTTTTTGCAAGCACAGAATAAATGGTAACATGATATAATCATACACATAGGGTTGGTTTTCTGAAAACTTCCTCAGTTTAGTTATCTTCCAGGAGGTCCTTTGTTTGGTCCTTATTTATGAAGGTGGGAAAAACCTAAGAGGGACCAAAATCTCTATTGAACTATGCTTAAGGCCTCTAAGTAGGCATAGACACTGATGTAGATTTGCCATCATTCCTTCTACCATAGAAATTATGGTGCTAACACATTTTATTTTGAGCATGATGATTTAGAAAACTTAAGACCCTGGTTTTACTGTACAAGACTTGATGCAACTTGTAAAATATTCCCAAATGCTTGTGGGAAGACTAGGTTAGGCCATACTTGTGGAATCACAGCTGGAATCATAACCAAAAAGTAAGACACATGGTTTGTAGTTGGCAAAGGAAAGGATATTTTCACCCTAAACCTGCAGCTCATTTATATGAGTTGAGGCTGGATATTTATAAGCTGCAAAGCTCTAGACAGGTTCCCAAAAGTCCATGAGCAGGGACTGGTAAAATTTCTAGAGCTCTAAACTGAGTCTTATCATTTCAGAGTTCCTAAATATGGACTGAGTCTCAGTCTGTTGTTACTAGCATGGTTTTGGGGCCTCTGCTCCAAATTTCTAGACTCCTTTTATCCAGGAACCTAAGCTTGGGAATGACAAACATTCACCAACCTCTGAGTTCCAACAGAGATTGGTTGCTACTATGTCACCCAGCTAATCTCTTGGGATGTCTCCATGGAGCCCCTCTTCCCATGTATAGACCCTCCTCCACCTTTTATATGTTCCCCTCATCCTTTCTTCTACCTTTGCTTTTTCCTTTCTAGCCTACTCTTAAACAAAACAAAATAAACATCATAGAGATTGACCAATATCATCTGGTATGGCAAAAGTTATATCTTTGTCTAGTAGTCTAGTAAACTTTACCTCTTTCCAAACTTCTTGATACTTTTTTCTTAAGATTTTATTCATCCATTTGAGAGCGAGCACAAGCAGGTGGAGAGGGAGAGGGTGAAGCAGGTGATATAAGAATTCTAACTTTGTATGCATTCAATAATATGTCATCAAAATATATAAGGCAGTACAATTTTCATGAAAAAAAAAATATAATGCAGTTGAAAAATATATGTATAAGGCAAATATGGACAGAACCACAATTGTATTGGGAGATTTAGCACATCTGTCTCAGTGGCTGACAAAATAAGTGAATAAAGAAAACCAGCATCAATATACAAAATTTGAAAAACACAATTAATAAATTTGCTCTAAGGACATGTAGGGAACATGTAGTCAACAACTTAAGAATACACATTTATTTCAAGCACACAATAAAAATTGTATGTGGAAACATAAAGGAAGTCTCATCAAATTTAAGAGTGCAAATCAATGTTTCACTTCTAAACAAAATTCAATAAAGTTAAAAATCAACAACAACAAATGATGCTGGAATAACTAGACATGAATATACAAAAAGTGAACTCCACCCTGTACATCACATCATATATAAAAATTAATTCAAAGTAAATCTTAGACCTAAAGGTAAAAAGCTAAAATATAAAATTCTAGAAGAATCCATGGGAGAAAATCCTCATTGCCTTAGGGTAAGCAAAGATTTCTTAGGATAAAAAAGGACACTTACCATAAAATAAATGAATATATTGGACTTCATCAAAATTGAAAACTTTTAATTCAAAAGATAGTGTTAAGAAAATGAAGAGGCAGACCAGAGACTCAGAGAAAATATTGGCAATACATATATATGACAAATGATTTATGTCAAAGATAAAGGGCTATATAGCTCAGTGGTAAAAGGGCAATAACCCAATAAAATTGGGCAAAAGATTTGAATGGACACTTTATAAAAGAAGATATTGTAATGGTAAAAAAGCAATAAAGTGATGTTGAACATTATTAGTCATAGATAAATGCAAATTAAAACTACTAGGGTGGCTAAAATTAAAAAGGTGAACATTAGCAAATGTTGGTGGGGATGTGGAAAAATTAGAACCTAATTTATCACTGCTGGGAATGTAAAATTGTAGAAACTCTTTTATTATTATTATTATTATTTTTTTTTTGTAGAAACTCTTTAGAAAAAAGTTGGACAGTTTCTTCTCTTTTTTTTTTTTTCTTTTTTAATTGAATTTTTTCCCCTTTGTCTATTTCACTCCTCCCCCCACCCTGGCAACCACCAATTTGTTCTCTGTATTTAAGAGTCTGTTTTTTTTGAGTGTTTCTTTTTTCATTTTTTGTTCATTTGTTTTGTTTCTTAAATTCCACAAATGAGTGAAATCATGTGGTATTTGTCTTTCTCTGACTGACTTATTTTACTTAGCATTATACCCTCTAGGCCCACCCATGTTGTCGCAAATGGCAAGATCTCATTTTTTATGGCTGAATAATAATCCATTGTGTGTGTGTGTGTGTGTATATATATATATACACCACATCTTCTGTATTGATTCTTCTATGGTGGACACTTGGGTTGCTTTCATATCTTGGCTATTATAAATAATGTTGCAATAAACATAGGAGTGCATATATCTTTTTGAATTAGTGTTTTTGTTTTTTGGATATAAATATCCAGTAGTAGAATTACTGGATCATATGGTAATTCTATTTTTACTTTTTTGAGGAGCCTCCATACTGTTTTCCATAGTAGCTGTACCAATTTGCATCCCCACCAACAGTGCACAAGGATTCCTTTTTTTTGCATCCTTGCCAACACTTATTTCTTCTGTTTTTGATGTTAACCATTCTGACAGGTATAAAGTGAGATCTCATTGTGGTTTTGATTTGCATTTCCCTGATGATTAGTGATGTTGAATATTTTTTCATGTATCTGTTGGCCATCTCTATGTCTTCTTTGGAAAAATGTCTATTTAGGACATCTGCCCTTTTTTTCCCCAAGATTTTATTTATTTATTTGACAGAGAGAGAGAAAGAGCAAGCATGCACAAGCAGGGGAGTGGCAGGCAAAGGCAGAGGGAGAAATAGCTCCCCACAGAGCACACAGCCCAATGAGGGGCTTGATCCCAGGACCCTGGGATCATGACCTGAGCCAAAGGCAGACCCTTAACCAGCTGAACCACCCAGGCACCCCTGTGCCCATTTTTTAATCAGATTTTTTTCATGTTGAGTTGTATAAGTTCTTTATATATTTTGGATAGTAAGTTTCTTATAAAGTTTATACATTTATCATATGATTCAGAAGTTTCATTCCTAGGTATGTACATAAAAGAAATGAAAACATACATCCACAAAAAGAATTGGAGATCTTCCTCAACTTATGACGGAGTTATATCCCAATAAAGTCATTGTAAGTTGAAAATATCATTCAGTTGAAAAAGCGTTTAATACACCTAACCTACTGAATATCATAGCTTAGCCTAGCCTACTTAAACGTGCTCAAAACACTTCCATTAGCCTTCAGTTGGGCAAAATCATCTAACATAAAGCCTATTTTAGCTCATGTAACTTATTGAATACTGTACCGAAAACGAAAAACAGAATGGTCATGGGGGATAGAACGGTTGTCCATGTATCGGTTGTTTACCCTCCTGATTGCTGGGTTGAAGGGGAGCTGTATCTCACTGCCCCCCGCTCCGCATCATAGAGAGGCTCAGACCACATATTGCTAACCTGGGAAAAGACCCAAATTCAAAATTCAAAGTAAGTTTCTACTGACTTTCGTATCACTTTTGCACCATAGTAAAGTCTAAAAACAGTAAGTCGAACCATCATAAGTCTGGGACCATCTGTACAGAGAGTTGTTTATTGTCATTTTATTTATAAGAACAAAAAACTGGAAACAACCCCTATGTTCATCAGTGAATGGGCAGATTGTGACATACCCATTCAATAAAATACTCCTTCAGTGATAAAAAGAAACAAGCTACTGATAACATGTACCAACATGACTGTGTCTCGAAAACATTATGACGCATGACAGAAGGTCAAGAGTATATGACTTTATCCATGTGAAATTCTCTGGCGATCAGAACTAGTCTGTAGTGACAGAAGGCAGTTTAGTGGTTGTCTGGGGCTGAGGGTAGAGACGGAGAATATTTTCGAGTGAAGAAAATGGTCTGTATCTTAATTGTGGTGGTGGTTATGTAAGTGCTTACATTTTTCAAAACTCACTAAACCATATATTAAAAATGTGTTATATGGTACACAATTATAACTAAGTAAAATTGATTTAAAAAGAAAAAATCAATAACAAAAATATTAAGAAGTACACTTCTAAATAAACCCTGGGAGGAAAAGGTTACAGAAAGAGTAGTAGGAATCATTTAAAAAAAAAAAAAATCACTGTTCATATGGAACTTAACTTTTTAGTGGAATTCTAGTGAAAACTAGTGTAAGTTTAATGGGAAATAAGATTGTTTCCAACTTATCCCTGTTATTGCTAAGGTCGGACAAAATTTACAGTGAGGTAAATAATTGGAGAGAGGTGCTTACAGAGTTCTAAATGGTTGAACCACATATAAACCCTAGTCTGGGGTGAGAGCCCCTATTAGCTCTACTTGCTTAAGTTATACATGCCTCTCACTGAGATTATAGCTCTGTCAGAACAGGCACATTATACATCTGCGTTAACTCTTTGCATTTCGCTCACAAGGTGTACAGCGTTGTGGGGCTGAGCCCTATACCTGTTCCCAGACATTGGCTTTCAGGAAGTGGGGAGAAGGAATATTTGACTCAACTCCTAATAATGAGCATACTGACCTTTGGAAGAAAGCTACATTCAAGTTATCAGAGAACCCCCTGCAAATGTTTGCCATAATTATGCTACATCTGTAGCATAATTTGCCTCTCCTTAAATTTATGTTTCTAAGAAACATGCAGCAAAGGGAAAATGCCTGCGATATAATGCTAAGTAAAAAAAAAAAAAAAAAAGCACGTTACAAAATTCGATAGACACCGTCATAACAACTGTATATGAAACAGATGAATAAGAAAAAGGAGTGGGAAAATGTAGCAAATTCTTAACCCTGGTAGTGCTAGGATGGTAGGATTTGGGGTGAAATATATTTTCGTTCCCCTATTTTTTTTTACCAAAGCAAAGGAAATTCAAATGCATCAATTCTGTTCAATGGCAGGGCCCACTTCCTCCATTTCAGAAATGCTTGTGTGCGAGGCACGGTGGGAGGGAAGATTGAGTGTGTTGACTTTTGGCAGACAGGAAGGACTGAAATTCACCACTTGCTTTTCAATCTTTAAGTACACAATCAAATTATACAAAGGTAAACAGCAGGCATCCTTTCCAGCGTTGATTCTGAGAAGAGCCGTACCAAAAGCTCTCCTTCCCAAATTTCCTCCCTCACTGACCTGCCATGACCTAGAGATTTCAGGGAACAGGGTTCTGGTCGGGAGCAGAAAAAATGGGAAGGCACATAAATCCTAGGGGAGCATAGGAGCAGGGAATGAGTGGGATTGTCTCATGAGATAACTTCTTGCCCAGAACCAAGAAGGAAATCAGCAAGACCTTACACCCTGATAATTCAGGCTGCCATGGGCTCGGACACGTCCTGTCCACAACAGCCCAAGGGAAGGAACTTGGACTTCAGACTTAGATAAACGTGGGAGGAGAACCATTTGACCTTGGGCAAGTTACTTACCTTCGATGACCCTCAGCGTCCTCCTTGAAAAAGGTGGGTAGTAACAGCTATCAATATTATCCAGACTTTTTTGTTACAAACATCAGAAACTCACTCAAGCCAACTTCAGCACAACCCTGGAGAATTTATTTGATGGCTGCTGGAGTGTCCTCTAACTTAAGAAGAAAAGGAAGGAGGAACAGAAGGCCACTAGCAAACCAGGGACGATGATGTCTCCTTTCTTCTCTTACTTTTCTCTTGCTCATGTCTTCATGTTTCCACCCCACCCCCCAGGCTGGCTTCCGAGCTAATGATGGGGGAAGGTGGGAGGGGGGAGGATTGCTGTATAAACTTGGCTGTGAAAGTGGTTATTTTAAAATACTTGTTTGGGGACTTTCCATATTGGTGACACAGATCTTCGGAATTGTTTCTCCTATTGACTAAAGTGCCTCAGAGTTTCTGCTTCTTGTCTTTGCTGCTACGGTAGCCTGCCTTGAGTGCATAGAAAAAGCCACACCATGTTTTCCATTGCAGCCTAGGATGGGATTTGTCCGTGTCTTCTGCAGGCTGTTTTGTCCACCACAAGCTTGTTTTGTTGGCTTGTAAACTTTCAACAGCTGGTGAAGAGTCGGGAGGAGTGGATGAGAAACCCCCCGCCCCCACCTTTTTTTTTTTTTTAAACTTGCACAACAGTGGAGGAAATTGTTCATGACGAGGACTAAAGTTTTCTGAATTAATATACCCCATTCTTTATATGCATGATTACAAAGAGATTGACCAGAGAGGGGAGGGAGGGAGGGAGGGAGGGAGGGAGGGAGAAAGAAAGACTAAAGCCAGAAATACTAACAGGTTATGATTTTCATCTTACCTCTACGGATAAATTCTATCCTGGAGTCAGGACAGGGGTCCGTGAAATGCAAAATTTCCACTTTTAATAACTCTAAAGAAGGTTGTCCTACCTTTTCATAGTTAAAACTGACAGCCTCAACCCACAGAGCGGCTGGCCTTTTCCAAGTTCGGAGAAGAGACACTTGGATTGGACCAGCTTGGGCAAGCTGCCCCTTTCTAGACGGATCATCTGGGGGCCAGGGAGTGAGGTCACATCATGCAAAATGGCTTCCAAGGAAGGGCTCACCACTCTGGGCAAGGGGCCCAGCAACAGGACCATGGGATGCTGGACCTCCACTTTGTGAAGCATCTGCCGCACATCCTCAGGAGGTGAAGACTGGATTTATGTTAAAACCCGGCACCGTGTTTGAGATTAAACAAAACAAGCATTTATTTCCTTTTCTGAAGCATGACCCTGTTTCCTGAGATCTTGGAATGACTTACCCAACGCTGGTTACTCCTGGTTCTGCTGATGTGTCTGTGCCAGGGAGGGGGTAAAATGGTACGTGTTCCTAAGAACCCGAAGAAACTGCTGAAGTAAGCAATTGTCTTTGAAATGGTAGGACACCCTTCTTTATGGTTATTAAAAGTGGAAATTTTGCATTTCATGGACCCCTGTCCTGACTCCAGGGGTAGCTTTCAATTTTCATTTCATTCATGAAATACTCACTCTCGGTAATACTCCAGGTCTACACAGAGCTATACCTTGACCTCCCAGGTTATTTCGATAATCCTCACAGGAGTCCTTTGGAAAGGGCAGGCATCATAATCCCCATTTTGCAAACATGTTCAGTGGAGCTCAGGGAAGTCACCTTGGAGACTTGTCCAAGGTGACACGATTTAGGGGTGCAATTTCACTCAGGTCCTGTCATTCCTAGCCTAATGTCAGGTTCACTAGACAAGGGAGGGTCCTTTTAGGAGTTTCACACTCGTCAGTAGCTCCAGACATTTATTTCAGCAGAACTTGGTGTCTGATCAAAGCTTTTGGCAAGGTTCGTTCAATCCATAATGACTGTTGTCTGCGGGCTAGGCATATGGGCCCTGCCCTCGGGCAGCAGGGCTATAATATTGTTGAACAAATAGTTCTAGGGCTGTTTAATTTATTTTATCCTAAGTCCTACTTAGAAAATGTATAGAGTATTTTGCAATAGATCAGAGAGAGAGGAAACTTGAAAACTTTCCTACCCTTTGACCAAGCATTCTACTTGAAGATCTTTCTAATTTTTCACCATCATAAACAACTTTGCAGTGAATCTTTTTTTTCTTCTTCTTCCTACACACATCTTTGTAGTATTGTTTCTGGCATTTTCTGAGGATAGACTCTTAGAAACGGAATTTCAGATTCCAGGTATATGGGCATTAATTAATTAACTAATTAATTAATATTTATGGGTTTACAACCATAGCAGCAGTATATGAGAGCGTGTTTGGTCTTGCTTTCTTGCTAACAGTGGATATTATCAACATTTGTTAAAGATTTGCTGTAATAATATCGATCTCTTTAGAGTTTAAATGAGGTGTAGCATATTTTCATGTTTGCTCATGATTTGTATTTCTTTTCCTATAGTCTGTTCTTACCCTTCACCTAATTTTGTTTGTTTCCTGTTGAGATGTTTGCCCATTTCTTATTGATTTGCAGTAACTCTGTGTTTGATATTATTTCTCAATCCATCGTAGCAGCCAAAAATATTTTCTTCTAGCTGTTATCCATTTGTTTGTTTTTAACCTTGTTTTTGGTGACATTTGTAGTGTAGATTTTCTATTTTTATGTTGTCAAATCTGTCAGATCTCTTCATTTACATCTCTTCCGTTTTATATCTTGCTTAGGCAGGCTTTCTTAGCCTTAAATCAATAAAAATATCTTTCTGTTTTTTTTTTTTTAATGCTTTTGTAGTTTTGTGGTTTATCTTTAGGTATTTAATCCATCTGGAATTTGTTTTTGTGTATGGCATGAGGGAGGGATCTAACCCGTTTTGTCAAAACAGGAAGTCTCAACACAGTTATTAAATACTGTTTCTTTTTCTCTCCACTTTAAAAAATGCTACATCATATACAATATGCTCACATATTCATGCTTCTGTTTCTGGGCCGAAAATAATTTATTCTAATGTGTAACTGTCACTCAATCAGTATTAGGCAGATGTGCAGTTTACCAAAACCAAATTACTTTTCTTGAAAGGAACCGTTCTGTCTCAACTCTGATAATCTTTTACCACTCAGATCTTCAGCATTTATGGCTTATTTTCTTTCTTCTGTTGCACGCTGTTCTATGTTACTCCTGAAACATCTTACCATGTGAATAGGCCTGATTTCTCCAATAAACAGTGGCAAGTCTGATAGCTTTTTCTCTTGCATATTCCCCCAGACTGTTAGGTTTTATGTGGAGCCCTGAACTTAGCCAATTTCAACAGACTTTGCCTTTGGATTATTCTTTAGGCCTTGTGTTTATTTGCTTCCAGGAGAAATCACAATATCCTGGGTTCTTAAAAGTGGGAAGGAGTCATAAGTCATCAGAAGCACATACAAGTTCCTAGGTCCCACTCCTAACATCTGTGACTTTTTGGTTTGAGGGTTAGCGCTAGAATCTGCACTTTTTAAACACCAGGCCTTTGCTTTGCCTGGAGGCTAGTCTCTCATTTGTAAATAAGGTGACAGTTGAACAACCAGAGCTGTGAGAACAAAACCTTATGAGGTTCCTAATGAGATGCTACAAATAAACTCTTGGGTCCTATTATTCCAAAGACTCCTTGGACATTTACTTCAGTGAAACAAACTGGAGATCTTTTAACAAAACGGAACCAGCAAAGCCAAGAAAAGAAAGAAAAGTCCAAACGCACTAGGTCGTGAAACTTCTCTGTTGAGTGTCTTGTATCTTTTCAGAATAAATGGGGATTAGGCATGACACCCTTACAAGTCTCTCTCCTCTGAAGGCACCATCAGAAGAAAGATTCCAATGCTAACATCAGTCCGTTGCCGTGGAAGCTGACCCAGAATGAACTGCTGCTTCCTTTTTCACCACCATCTCTTCTGGAAATTATTAAGAGATAGATGCCAGAGACCAGAATTTGAGAAAATGCCAGGAGTTTGTCCGATCTGGCTCTTTAGAGATGCAAATGTGCAAAAGGAATTATGAACACTGTGGATGGAATCATAATGTTTTATCTTGTCATCTCTACATCAAGGCTTAATTGGGTCTTGCTTAAAAAAAAAAAAAGAAAATGGGTGTTCTGTTTGTCAAGAGGAGAGGAGACCTCTAGATCTTTTACTTCTGATAATTCAAGTCCAGACTCAATAAATTAGTTCATTTATAAAGGATTCCTTTTCTCCATGCCAACGTGTAGATAGTCCTCTACTTACAATGGGTCAACTTCATGATTTTTTGACTTTACAATGGCATAAAAGCAGAATACATTCAGTAGAAACTGTACTTCAAATTTTAAATTTTGATCTTTTCCCAGGCTAGTGATAAGTGGTACAAAAGTGATCTCAGGTTTTTTCCTTTGGCTCTTTTATAGAGTGGTGCCTAATACAGGCTGAATTGTGTCCTCCCCATTCACAAAATTCAAATGTTGAAGTCCTAATCTCCAGAAGCTCAGAATGTGACCTTATTTAGAAATAGGGTCATTGCAGATATAGTTACTTAGGATGAAGTCATATTGGAGTGGGGCCCACACACAGGGAGAAGGCCATGTGAACATGAAGGCAGAGATCAGGGTGATCCACAGAAGTAAAGAATTGGCAAAAATCTCCAGCAGGCCACCAGAGGCTAAGAGAGAGGTATGGAATGGATTCTCCTTCCCTGCCCCCAGAAGGAACCAACCCTGCCAACCTTGATCTTAGTCTTTTGGCTTCCAGAACTGTGAAAGGATACATTTCTTTTATTCTAAGCCACCTGGTGTTTGGTGCTTTGTTATGGCAACCCCAGGAAACTAATACAGACCTAAATTTACTTTCTTAGAAAGTAGTTGATTTTTCAGGTACGGGTGGCTGAACCAGAGGAATCAGCTTTGAGGCCAGGTCATTGGAGACAAGTGAGACTTACAACTTGATTTAATTAAAAGCAAACTTTTATTCAACACTTGCTCTGTCAAGTGCTGGACTGGATGCTCAAAGGGGCTATAAAGGTAACACACAGATCACTTCCTTAAGGAACAGTCTAAGAAGGGATAGGAAAACATGAGAAAAGCAGATATGGTTACATGAAAGAGTCCTGTAATATAGGCCCAAATGCTGCTGGACTTAAGCAGATCAAATTATGTTGGGAAGATTAAGACAAGTTTTGTTTTGTTTTTTAAAAGAGGTCATATTTGATCTAGTCCTTAAACATTGGTAAAATTTTGACAGGTAGAAATTGTTGGGAGAAGAAGGGGAGAAAGTAGTGGGAGAAAATTTCAAAGTTGTTTTATTCTGTTGTGAACCTGAATGGTGGGGATTTGAAAATATGATGTTAATGAAGTCCCATTTATGGCACAAAATTTGGAATTATTCTTACTCCCCAAATTACAAACACAGCTTGTTGTATAACTTCTAAATGGGTAGGGCTGAATGGATAGTAAACTGTGTTCAAATTATTAGTAAATGTTGAGGCCTCTTTTGCCGGTAAAGCCAATTACTCACTCTTCCATGTCATTACTGTAATTATTCCAGAAACCAATCTGTTGTTTGTACGGTTTGGAAATTCTATGAATGATTGTGGCAATTATTACGCTATTATTTTAACACTTACAATTTTTAATAATGTAAAATCTTTACATGTCATGTAACAATGTTACCTAAGCTTTTATTATGTGTTGGTGCTAAGCCTGATACAGAAAAATGTGCCTAAAAAAAGATCAATAACTTTGCAACAATGTTAGATGTGGGAAAATGCTCCAAAAGCGACAGGGCAGTGGTTATCATCACAATAAGGGTAATTTAGAAGAATTCTCTCTGCAAAACATGAGAGCTAATGTGGAAAATAAACAAAACAAGTGGGTACACCTTAGGTTCACAAAAACTCTGTAATTGGACAAAATAATGAGGGAACATGGAAAAACGGATAGCTACCCATCTGAAAGAATAATTTTGCTTGTAGCTTTATGCATTCAGAGAACATATACTCCAGACTTTGTAGATGTTCCCACAGGATAACTGCTCCTAAGATACGTAAATCGAAGAAAACGCATTCCTTGTGCAAAATGAGACTGCCTCTAACTGAGAAGGTCCACCAGGGGTGGGAGGCAGTAAAGGCAGGAAAGCTGAACGAGCTAGAGAAAAGGTGGGTGGTTTAGCTTGGTGGGAGCATGGAGGAGCGGGAACCGGGATGGAAAAGGGTCTCAGGAGCACCCACGGACTGTCTCCATCTCCCAGGTAGAATAGGCAATAAGGGCAACCATGGAAGGTTCTGAACAGCGCAGCTGTAGTGCATCTGAGAAGGTAGATGCTCACCCAAGCTGCACATTAAGTGAATGACTCCTCAGAGCCATCCTGTAAAACGTTATCACTCCCTACACGGGGCAGACGTCACGTGAGATATACCCAGGTCCTGAGATCCAACACAGGCGTGCTCATCACATTCCCCTCCCGCCAGGATACAGTATGTCATTTTCCCCGATCCCTGCCTTGGCAGAAGGAGCAGTGACAGGCGCTTGTTCCTGATTCCAAGAGTCTCAGAATTCTAGGAAATCAGAGAAAGCAGCTCTGAAATGCATTTGGTCCATATACATGGCAATTCTTTTTCTTTCTTTCCTTTTTTTTTTTTTTTTTTACTGGCTCAAGCACACAGCTGTTCCCTGAATCAAAGATCAACTTGTGAGATTAGTTTTTAATGGTGGCATAGGGGTAATTGCTTCTGTAAAATATCTGCTCCGTAATTAGAAAACAAAGATTTCTTTGCCCCGACTGAGTGTAATTACTTTTGGCTACCAGAGGAAAAGTTTCAGGATCATCATCAAAATGCAACGAGGATTGTTTGCAGGGATATTTTTCTTTTCTATTTTTTCTTTCTAGAAAAGTAGCAAGGAGACTGTAGGAAGATCAGTGTTTATTAGTGTTTTATAGACTGTAAGAGAATAAAGCAAAACTCCCAAATCAGTGTGGGCTTATTAATACAGTTGATGCAGACCCCAAGGAATTAAATTCAGTCAATTCAAAGGAATTTCATTTTGAAAGGAAGTGAGGGCATATTGGAGTTAGGGGCTTTTCCTACCAAGTCTATAATTAGTGGTAATTCTAGGGCATCATTCACCCCCTTGAGTTTAAGGTCTGCTTTGGCCAAAAATGACTATTTTGGGTACCTCGGGCTTGCTCTGATTTGCTGTTCAGATCCATGTTCTGTGGCTGCAGGCTAGCTATGGTTCCACCCCCCTAACTGAGTGCTACTGTCATGTTTGTCAACTGTCTCTCTCTCCTTCTCCATATGTCACTTCCTCCATACTCGCCACGGTACGCCTCCGCTTCCTGAACTCTCCATTCTTCCTACAGTTCTCCCTACAACATACCCAGGCCCTGATCTGACTCTCTTCATTCAGTATTGCGAGCTTCTCAGTCTCAACCCTACTTTGCTTTCCCTAGTTTCCTAAATGCATCCCTTCCCGATTTTTCACTTCTGCCTTGCAAGTTTCCCAAAGCAGATTCCCTCCTGGAGCTAGTGTAACAAGTTGAAGGACATTTGTTCCTCTCTCCTTGTCCTTTGCAGGCCACTCTTCCCCTGACCAGGAATGTCGGTCCTGCCTGTAGTCCCACCATACGACTCACTACATATTCCTTCCCAGGGTACCTCATCCTGTTCCTTCCATGACCTTCTATTTGTGTGAATTTGCAGTGCATGTACTAGTCTTCTGAGCTCCAGATCCATGTAGCCAACCAACCGGATAGCTCCTCTTCAATGCTGTGTTTCCTAGGGCTTCTATACCAAATTCCTACAGGCTGAATGGCTAAAAACAATAGAAATTGCTAGATAACATAGTGATGTTAGAATTACTTTTATTGGTAAAAATAAGAGCTTGTCAACTAGCATGAGGACTCTTACGAATGAGCTCTCACTGGAGAAAGGAAAGTATTCGGGTTTTGAGTGTTGGCAAACATATATACATGTATGTATATATATATGGAATATATATTTGGAATATATATATATATCATATTTGCTTCTCTTAAATCAAGACCAGACAAGGGCCAGATGCCAGCAAGGCCATGACAGCAGTGACCTACCAAATAATAGGACAGTGGGGTTAAGGACAGACCCATCCGGCCTGAGGAAACAGCAGTTAGGGTTCAAGCCCTGCCTTGTCATTGTCTTCCTGATCCGTGTTTCCTCTGGTTTGAGATGCAATGTTGGCATCTTGGGGACCAAAAGGCAAACAGCAAACAACTCCCAAGAGGAGATTTTATTCTGTGGTGAACACTGTCTCAACTAACAAAATATTTCACTGTGCATTTTAATCTCTGGACAGGACCGTGGTAAGAATGAAAAGTGGATCAATGAGGGAAGGTTATGCCTCCACTCCTCCTTCCCTACTTTCATTTTTAAATGTTTCTAAACCAATACCACATTGACTTCCTTTCACTCCAAGGCAAACTGTTTTATTTCTTATTCAGTTATCACAGCATACTGATCTGTTCCTTGGCTTCTGGATAGATGGTGTTTGCAAACTTAGCGGGGGCACAACGAAGAAAGAAGAAAGAAAGAAAGAAAGAAAAAGAAAGAAAGAAAGAAAGAAAGAAAGAAAGAAAGAAAAGAAGGGAAAGGAAGGGAAAAGAAGGGAAAGGAAGGGAAAGGAAGGGAAAGGAAGGAAGGAAGGAAGGAAGGAAGGAAGGAAGGAAGGAAGGAAAACTGGCTAGTCCAGAAAGGAAAGGGCTAGGGGCAATATGATTTTGATAAACTGAATGGAACAACTGGTAAACCTTCCTAAAGGCTATGGCTCTTCATTTTCCAGATGCTAACTTCTCTACCGGAGAGAATCATCCCTGTTGGGAGGTAAACGAGCTGGGTGATGGAATAGCAATGATGTATGCGTTGGCTCTTCTCCATTTCTGCTTCTGTGGCAGGGTTTGACATCTTTATACATGGCACAATGGCTCTGGAAACCCAGAGCACCTTTCTGTGCAATGCTTCCAGGCCATGCAGATATTTCCAGAGTTTAGAGGTCCCAGACTACCTTTTTAAAATTAATTAATTCTCTACTTCCTTATTTATTTTATTGAGATATAGTTGACATATAACACAAGTTTCAAGTGTACAACATGTTTGCTATTTGTACATATTGTAAGGGATCACCACAATAAGTCTAGCTAACATCTGTCACCATACATAGTTGCAATTTTTCTTGTGCTGATGACTTTTGAGATCTACTCTCTTAGCAACTTTAAAATATGCAATACGGTATTATTAACTATAGTCATTATGCTATACATTAGATCTTCATGACTTAATTATTTTATAACTGGAAGTTTGTGTCTTTTTACTCCCTTCATCTATTTCTTCCATCCCTCATCCCTTGCCTCTGGCAACCACCATTCTGTTCTCTGTATCTACAAACTTGGGTTTTTTTGTTGTTGTTGTTGGTTTTTCAAAAAATCCACATGTAAGTGAGATCATATGGCATTTGTTTTTCCCTGTGTGACATTTCCCTTAGCATAATGCCCTCAAGGTTCATTCATGTTGTTGCAATAGCAAGATTTCATTCTTTCTTTTTTTTTTTAGAGACAGAGAGAGTGCGGGGGGGCGGGGATAGGAGCAGAGGGAGAGGGAGAGAGAGAATCTCAAGCAGACTCCACACATAGCACAGAGTCCAACATGGGGCTCGATCTCACAACCCTGAGATTATGACCTGAGCTGAAATCAGGAGTTGAATGCCTAACCAACTGAGCCACCCAGGCACCCCAAGATTTCATTCTTTTTTATGGCTAAAGAGTATTTATATATATATGTATATAAAGACATATATAGATATAGATATGTACATCTTTATCCATTTGTCCATTGATGGACACTTAGGTTGTTTCCATAGCTTAGCTATTATAAATAATTCTGCAATGAACATGGAGGTTTTTGAATTAGTGTTTTCATTTTCTTAGATAAATAGCCAGAAGTGAAATTGGTGGCTTATCTGGTAGTACTAACTTTTTTATTAAAGTATAATTAACATAGAGTGTTATATTAGTTTCAGGTGTACAATATAACGATTCAATATTTCTGCACATTACTCAATGCTCACCACGATAAGTATACTGTTAATCCCCTTTGTCTATTTCACTCATTGTTCTATTTTTAATTTGTTGAAGAACTACCCTACTGTTTCCACAGTGGCTGTATCATTTTACATTCCTTCCAAAACTGCACAAAGTTTCCAGCTTCTTTACATCCTGACCTACACTTGCTATCTTCTGGGTTCTGTTTTGTTTTTTAATAGTAGCTGAACTAGGGCGCCTGGGTGGCTCAGTTGGTTAAGTGACTGCCTTCGGCTTAGGTCATGATCCTGGAGTCCCGGGATTGAGTCCCGCATTGGGCTCCCTGCTCAGCAGGGAGTCTGCTTCTCCCTCTGACCCTCCCCCCGTCTCATGTGCTCTCTCTCTCTCTCAAATAAATAAATAAAATCTTAAAAAAAAAATAGTAGCTGGACTAATGGGTATGAGGTGGAGAGCAACTACATTTGAAAGTAGCTTTGTTCTCCACTGGACAACCTGATGATGGTATTTTTTACC